GAAAAGCAAAGTTGCGTACTCAATATCCCCATGCTTATCACACACATCAACCATTTTCGTCACCAAGAAACTGCTCTGCGATAACGAGTACTTGACAATATCCGCATGAATTTTCTTCAACTGTGATAATTTTTTACAGTTCTGCAATGCGGGTACAAACAGATCTTCAACTTCTCTGATTTTAGAGACATCAATTCTGGTTGCCATTAATGAGCCGATTCCCTTCGTTGGTTTTGAGCGAGCGGCATGGATTTGCAAACCTTTTAAGGTTCTGTTCAAAGAACGGATTACTTGATCAAGGGATTCAAGTTCATGGAGCTCTGGTGAAAATGGGATTTGGGTCTGAGTTGGTCCTAAACAATTTTCTCCTAGACATGTACGCTAAATGCTATAAAATGGACAAGGCCTGTGCTGTGTTTGATAAAATGCTTGAGAGAAACGTGGTTTCATGGACAGCTCTTATGTGCGGGCACATATTAAAAGGGGATGCCAAAGAATCATTATCATTATTCTTTCAAATGATATTGTCCGCTGTTATACCAAACGAGTTCACCTTCTCTACGAATCTAAGGGCATGCGGGCTTTTGGGCAGTCTTGAAAATGGAATGCGAATACATGGTATGTGTGTTAAGAGAGGATTTGAGAAGCTGCTTGTAGTGGGAAATTCTATTACTGACATGTACTCGAAATGTGGAAGAATTAATGAAGCGGAGATAATGTTCAAATCAATGCCAATCAAGAATCTTATAAGTTGGAATGCAATGATTGCAGGATACACACTTGCAGGATATGGTGCAAAAGCTATCAGTGCGTTCCAGAGGATGCAAGGAGATGGGATGATTCCTGACGAATTCACATTAACAAGCATGTTGAAAGCTTGTGCTGGTCTTGACACAATTCATGGAGGAAAGCAAGTTCATGGTTTCTTGATCACAAGTGGATTCCCATGTTTGGCTAAGGCAACAACTGCAGGCGCTCTTATAGATTTATATGTAAAATCTGAAAATTTGTTCGAAGCTCGGAAAGTATTCAATCACGTTGAGGAGAAGAATGTCATATCCTGGAGTTCGCTGATCTTAGGTTATGCCAAAGCCGAGAACTTGAATGAGGCTCTGGATTTATTCAGGCAGCTTCGCATCAGTTGCTCACGAATAGATGGTTTTGTGCTATCAAGCATTATTGGTGTGTTTGCTGATTATGCTCTTGTGGAGCAAGGTAGGCAAATGCATGCCTACACCGTTAAAATTCCATCTGGTCTAGAAACATCAGTATGTAATTCAATTGTGGACATGTATCTCAAGTGTGGAATGATAGATGAAGCAGAGAGATCTTTCAAGAAAATGACAATGAGAAATTTGGTTTCCTGGACGGTAATGATCACTGGCTATGCAAATTATGGTCTGGGAAAAGAAGCAATTCATCTCTTTGATGAAATGCAGTTAAGTGGAGTGGAACCTGATGAGGTGACTTATTTAGCGATACTCTCAGCTTGTAGCCATTGTGGACTCGTTAAAGAAGGTCAGGAATACTTGTCAAGGTTATACCATGATTGTAGGACCGAACCAAGAGTAGAGCATTATGCTTGCATAGTTGATCTGCTTGGGCGGGCAGGACGCTTAGAAGAAGCTAAGAATGTCATAGAGACAATGCCTTTGAAACCAAATATAGGAGTATGGCAAACATTGCTCAGTGCTTGTCGACTACATGGAGATATAGATTTAGGGCACTATGTGGGGAAAATTCTTACGGAATTGGACAGTGAAAATCTAGTCAACTATGTGACGATGTCAAATATATATGCCCAAGCCGGTTATTGGAAAGAACGGGAGAGAATAAGAAAAATGATGAAGGCAAAAGGATTGAAAAAAGATGCAGGGCGTAGTTGGAGAATAGAACAATAGAGTTAAATAAGTTGCCTCTTTTAAATCTACAAAGTAGCGAAAGAAATAGAGAGATAGATAATATAAAATAAAAATTAGCTTGTGTGTGACATTGCATGTTGCAGAGAAGAGTTCAAAGAAGGATTTTGAAA